GAAGGTAGCATAATAATTGTGTAGTAGTGTAGGATAACATAAATACACACCATATGAATGAATAAATATATGAATGAATAAATATATGAATGAATAAATATATATATGAATAAATATATATATATATATATATATATATATATGAATAAATATATATATGTAAATATATATATATGCCAACCAATCACGAGCGACTTTGCTTGTTTAAAAAGAAGTGGTTCCGTCCAATACTCAGTAAGAAAATTAAAGCCTGGCGTGGCCACGTGTGGTTTTGCTGCCAATCACGAGCGATTTCATTTGTTTGAGAATAGTGGTTTCAGCCAATACTGAGAAGGTTATTCAAGCCAGACCTGGCTTGAATAACCTGTCTGCTGCATTCATATGCTAATTAGGGCCATTAGTACAGCTGATCGCTCTCCACATACGTCAGAGTCCGTTTCCGACAATTTGTGGCACGACAAACGCGGACAAGCACGGGTTGCAAATTGTCGGAAACTGACGAAAATCAGGCAGATCTGCGGGAGTTTACGGGGATTTACGGGGACGAAAATTTCACTTTTCATGCAGTGCCCCACCCCACGTCGTACCCCACCTATTTTTGCCATCCATCGTCGCTAACACATTGTTCGTAACGGTTATGGTCTGGATTACCCATAATTCCAAGTCAGAGTGAGAAAAAAAAGGACTCAAATACATTGTTCTTTTAAGATCTTGATTGCGGTTTGAAACATTATATAAGTGTATATTTTACCAACTGTCTAATGAACTATACACAGCTATTAACATAGTAATTAAAAGTACCACTGTCTGCTTTGCTATTGGTGTTGGTTTAAACGGCTCACCATCACGTTGAAAACTGGCGTATGTTGCGGTATAAATACGATCCGGTGTGGTCAGTCACTTCAGTATCAGGTGGGTTTAAGAGGAACTTTATGCACCATTACATTTGCAAAGAGACGTCCTAGTCTACAATTGCGTAGGGGGCCTACCAAGTGTCAGTGAATGGGCCCCTAAGAGGTTGTGGGCCCGTAAGCAACTGCTGTCTCTGCTTACCGATATTTACGCCATTGTTACTGGAGACCAGCTCCAGTCAATACGCACAGTTTCCTATAGATTTGGTGATGGTCATCAAGTACGGAATTTAAAAGGCAAGTCTAAATTACCTGTTTTCAGGAGGCAGTACTTGGGTGATTTAAGCACTGGACTATTGGGCTTTGAATTGGCTAGGTGTGGATCAGTCACAGAAGACTTTCTTTATTGAACCAATAATATTTTCGTTTTTGAGTTCAGAAATCAAACATTGAGGGCTGGCAAGCCCCATAGCCATCCACAGTCAACCAAGAAAGAAATGCATAGTCATGATCAGTTTAGAGATAGCCCTATGAACAAGCCAAATCCTGTCTAATGAATATGAAGCACAAACTCAAAATATCACAACTCGATTTCTAAGCGAACAGCCAGATGGTTGAAACATAAACATAACTTGGAGTTCCCAAAGATTAGCATTTTTTAATTTCTGTTTTTAATCAAGAAAGTACAGCTCAAAACACCATTGGTGCAGTCAGGTCACCGAGGTTATGATCCTACCTTCATAACATCTGTAGTTGTTTCAAACAGCAGACCCCTGCTTATATGTTTTTGCTGATTACTACACTGCTGCTAAAATGAAAAAATTAGTGCATGCATATTAGAACAATGTGTGTCTATCTGACAGTGCATGCTGTTCTGACAGAACACTTGTTTAAAAATCTTAAGGTAGGTAAAAAAATTTTTTTTGGCACATTCCAGCAACAACATTTTTCAGTGAAGATGTCAGAGCACTCAGAGATGTACTTTGTAGCTTAAAATCATATAAAAAAATACTTTTTACCGATTCATCCCAGCAAATATCAAAGCCACTCTCTTGATTGAATATGCCATTGTATACAGAGACCTCCTGTTGACCCTTTCCACTGTGTGAACATCAAAATCAGCTTGTAATGTAGACTACTGTGCTTGTTGGGTTGCCTAAGAGAACACGCTTTACAACCAAAACTGTTCTATCACAGATTTTTTTATTTGGTCTCTTCAGTTTTAAAAATCAATCAGAAATGTTAAAATCTTGCCATGTGAACCAGTTTACACAAACTACCAGTTCAGGAGGCTGTTCAAAAATTGTAGCTATGGTTTTGCCAGAGATTGTTGATTACTTAAAATGGGCTTTTTAAAATGCAGCTTGCTTAATGATATTTTCACAAAAATCTGTATTCAACTTAACTTCAACTTGAAATTTTATTTTTTTTTCTGTTTAAATTAGCATGCCACTGTATGTAACTCTGATGTCAGAGTTCCTCCTGTTCTTGTACTTTTTCAAGCCATGTAGAATTTCCTTGTAATGATGCTATAGACCAGCAGGAGCAAAGCCCTGCCTTTGGGCATGATCATCAAAGACTGATACAGGGTAAAGTAACAAATTAGGGCTTTATGTGTACTGTAGCTTTTAGTTATTTTTTTCTTTTCTGCAGGAAGAGAAGAAAAATCTCTTGCAAGGCGTCTATATGCTGTTCCAGTTGAAATAAACCTAACTTCTAACAACTGTTTGTACTTGGGCTTTCTGCACTGACTCTTGCACAACCAGCCCAACAGTCCCTTGTAAATCTATTTGATCAATCTGTGATGCATGCCATGTGGGCAAAGCAACAATGCCAAAGGGGGAGATTTATTCTAGTCTTTCATAGCAAGCAACAATTGGAATGAGACAACCAAGTCTCTGTGCAATTAATCTGCTTTTTACATCAGAATAGCAAAATGGAAAGGAAAGAAATAAAAGGTTTTTCGACGTGAATGGAAAAGAACCACTTATTCTCTGATATTTTCAGCAATTGAACTTATACTTCCCTTGCCTCAGCAATCCATCTACAATCAAATGCAAAGCAGAGACTTTGTGCACAGGTCATGTTTAATTTGCCCCAGGCACTGGCTGGGATTACCAGGTCCTATTCTTTCAGGAAAAGACATCTTGGACATGAATGGCTGATTGGCTCAGTGGAATCCCCTCTGATTCTTCAGCAACAGCCAAGCACAAGAAACAGAGCAGGGAGGAATATGACATGTTCGGATGGGACAGAACATCTTTAGAAAGCATCTTTGTCCCAGCATGAGACCACAAAAGACAGACCCTGCATGAATTCTCCTCTCTCTCTCTGTTGGGGGGCTTCAATGCTTTCTTACCATTCTCTCACTTCTTTATGTCATCAATGTATGACAGACCAGCGTTCTGTTTTACCTGGTAATTTGTTGAGCTGTTTTTCCTTATTTTTCCCTCTCAGTCATATTTACATTAACAAGACTTTCTTTATTCTCAATTTTTTACTCCCTAAGTCTAGCTTTGCTACTGTCATTCCTTGTATCTACCGAAATCATCTGCTCTGATTCTTTAGTGCAGTTGGCAAATATGAAGACCTGTCTACACATCATAGAAGTCTTGCTGTTTCCACCTGGAACTTAGACAATCAACATGTCAATGTTTGTGTGGATGGAGTAAATCACCAAATCCTTAGGTTTTCCTGTGAGATCTAATAGTGTAAAGGATAAAGTAAAGAGTCTGAAAGATTTGTAGATTGAAACAGTTATATGGGAGATGAAAGCATACATGTATATGGTATGGGTAAATAAATGAAGTTTCACAAATCTTTAATGGTTTTCATATAATAGTCATGAATGAATAGATCATGTTTCATATCATAGAATACATTTCTGTCACACAATGATAACCTGCAAAAATAAATGATATGGAAATTTGCAGTGATGATTTATTTCATGGAAGAATACCATTTTAACCAACCACGCCCTATGTAATGTCCTGATTGTGCCCTTTGTAGACTTCTGTTAAAGTTTGTTTAAGTTACACTTTGATTTATGTTATTCTGTGTTTTCTTTATTATTGGTTTCTTTTCAATTTTTTGTTATATTTAAGCTGTGTTGTATTTTTTAAGTTACTCACTGTTGTCCCCTTGTGTCAATCTCCTTTCCACTTAGCTCCTTCTGTCTACACCTGCTCCCTATCAGCTAATTAGTCCTCCCATTGTTTCTGTCTCCCATATATACACCTCCTGGTCACTTACTGTTTGCTGGATCCTTTTCATGCTTTTGCTTAATTCCTCCCTAGTGTCTCCAAGTTTTTTGGTTCATGAGTTTTCTTGTCTATAAGTTCTGGACTAAGGATTTTGTATTTTTATTATTTTCATTACACTTTACAAGCAATCATCCCTTCCTCTTCAACTCTGCATTTGGGTCCTCTAAAAACATCCGCACAACCTGAAATTTAAGAGTTAACATCTTTTTGACTAAACAAATTGGTGACAGTAAGTACTGTGATGTGTTTGAGGTCAATGGCAATTAGTCTTTTACATCATTGTTGAAACTTTTTGGCATTTTTCCCTTTGCAGAATCGTTTTAGTACAGCCACCTTGAAGAGTTTCTAAACATGAACTGCCTTTTTGAAGTTATACTGTAGAATAATAAACCAAACGTATTATCTGTGTATTTTCTGGTGTTCTTAACATTATTGTCTTTCAGTAATAAGTCCCAAATAAATCCTGAATCAGCAAATAAGCCCCAGACCATGGCAGTACCACCACCATGTTTGGCTGTTGGTATTAAAGAGGCAAAAACATAAGACATCTGTAGGGGCAAATGCTCTTCCGTAGGATTAAGACAATATTTGAAGTACGTCTCCTTTCTTTAAGTCTCAACTAAAGGCTCTGACAGCTGCACACAATAGTAGCACTTTTACATTTTTGTGAAATTGTTTTGACGTGTAAAATTGTAACTCATCCCACTGAGACGGCCTGCAGTTGTTGAAGCTGACAGCAGAGTGCAACAACCAACACATGTTTGTCAAAAGCAGGTGGGGTTTTGTTTTGCCAAGAGAGTAAAATAAGCAGAGACAACAACAAATTTACTGGAAAAACTCTGACTCAGGCAGTGGAATGACAGGGTATAAAAGAATTAGCACTCACCTGGATTAATGTCAGGTCTTCAAGGTTAAGCCTGAAGAGGTGATTTCTGTAGAAAGCAAACAAAATTGGAGTAAAATTGATATAGGTCATAAAATAAAATGTTATAATATTTCAGTAGAACTTGTTACAGCAATAACTGCTTCATAGCTAATCTTTGTCCTTCTCAGAAATGTAGAAGCACAGATGAGCAATAGTTCTAGAGGTCCGATATCCTCAGTTTTCAAACAGTTTTCTAATATGTTTTTAGTGCTTTTCAAACAGAAATTCTGAGTTCCTGAAACAATCTGACATAATTACTGAGTAAATTTTACAACAGCCCAAAACAACCCTTCATAAGCATTTAGAAGTTTTCAGGATATATCACACTACAAGGAAAGCAGTCTCAGAAAGAAACAGAACCATGTGGGATATGTTACTTTCTAAGACAAGCATTAACACTAAATGTGAATACAGTCAGCTAAGAAATACCATAAAAATAAGATTGGCAAATTTGGTCAAGTGGACCACAGTCTGTTGTTAATTAATTATTTATTTATTTTTTGGGGGGGACTGGGTCCCTTCTGAAATGACCAACTTCTCTCTTGAGTCTGTCACCAAAGGATGTTAGTCAGTTAATACCTTATCCAATCTGTTCTGTTGCCGTTTCGGCCAATCAGCATTCAATTTTGTCTGCTAAAACGAATAACCTTCTGCATAAAGATGCTTTGTGGTGACCATGAATACGTTTTAGTTTTATCTTGACGTTTTTTGCTCATGATCTAACAGCTGTTGTATTTGGGAAAATGGTGATTATAATCTCGTGTTTTAAAAAGGTGCATTGGTCTATGAAAAGATTATAGTTATCCAAGTGTATAACACAAGCTTTAGAAACCAACATATAATCAGAAACAAAAAGACATTAAGTCGACAATAAGCTGAAAATAAATAGAACGGTAAAACAGCAGAATAATAAACTACAAGTAGTAAGTAGATCATATGCAATGATCAAGCACATGATCAAAGAGAGAATTTTGTTTTGTTACAATAATGGAAAAAAAGGAAAGAACGACAACTAATGAGGAAAACTGAGTCTGAACCATCACAAAGTTCAGAAAAAGCCTGAAAATTACAAATTGATTTAATTCAGATGTGTTCCAACAAAAAGTTATCTAAAACAAGCAGGATGTAGACTCTGAAGAACTGAAACTTTGGAAAAGCTGTCTTCATTAGATGGAAAATGTAATTAATTTAGAGTTCTTAGATATCTTTTTAAAAACTCTGACTTTATTTTGGATTTTAAAACTGTAAAACCCATCTAGGGTTGGTGGGGGGAAAAAAGCTAATCTTTTCATGTGAACAATTACTAATTTTTCTGAGCAGCTATCCATTTTCAGTCGAAATCATGCTCACCTATACACTTGTGCACACATCCATACATATAAAATAGCTTTACAAAGATCCATCAATCTCCTGAGGAGCAGCTATCAGAAAAGGTCCGTATCTGACTGTGACCCCCCATTTTACTGTATTGATATTTACATCGATCCTACTTTTCTTCCATTATCTTTCATACTTGGAACCCAATCTGCTGTCATCAATCTTGGTGCGTTATCTGTCACAGTTAGACACTAAGAAGCTGTTAAGGTGGGATACAGAATTTCACCACATCTACTATTTAATTGTCTTCACTCTGTCCTTTTTTTCTTTTAGCACTGTGAGATTGTGGACATGCATGTGACAAATTTGTCACACTAAACAAGTGTGTTATGAAATTCTTGCTAACAGCCTTTTTAAAGCACTCACTTACATCTTTACCCATCCACTCGGTGCTGATCTATACTCAAATAAAACTAAGAGCCAATTTTTCTGCTAAATAGTTGCAGATCTTCTTAACTTAACTATACGGAAATAATACATTTAAATCACTGCAAACAGCAAAATACATCAACTTCAATCTCACTTTACACCAAAATTAAAACCTCAAATCATGTTTTCATCCTAAATTTCACAGTTTTCATTGATGGAAGTATTATTATCAGCCAAACTCAGTGCCCATGATACTAAAAAGCTAAACATATAAGGAATATTGCTAAGCCCCATAACAGACAATAAGTGCAGGTACAGACATAAACAGATGCAATTGGTTGGGCTTAAAAAAAATACAAAGACATTCATCCAAAGCAATTTCTATACAAAAGCGGATCATTACTCATGAAACACAGCAGCAAACACTGAAGGAAAAGAGAAATAAAACAAGGCACTGTGAATAAAAGGGAAGAAAAGGGCGAGGGGAGGAGGAAGGAAGAAAGAAGCAGAAGGGAAAATAAGGAAAAACATAATGGATGAAGGTTACCTGGCACCGACAATCAATTCATTCTGGCCAGGGTCAAAGGTCAGTTGTGAATAATCCACCGTGCCCTCTGCTTTGAACCTGAAGATCCATGGCTCCATCTCTGCAAAAAACACCGGAGGACAGTACAACAGTGAGCCTTTCAGGTTTTGACTGCAGATGAAAACTGCAGCTTTGATTGCAGATGAAAGCACAAGCTGTGCTTAAAAGTGTATCTTAAAACTAAAAAACACATTGCTTTCTTTATGTAGAAATTGTAAGGTTCTTTGCTTCTCATTGCCTCTCAAAAAAAAATTCATTAAAAAAGATTGACATAAAATTATTCTTAAGAGGGACTGGGAAATCAGCTGGTGACAAATTCTAAGTGTATTATCAGTTTGACCGGCCCTGAGCAGTGACCTGCAATACCTAAATCCTTTCTGTAACAACAGGACTCTTCATTGCGGATGGGATGGATCAGGCATCCCCAAAGTCGGTCCTCAAGGACCGCTGTCCTGCAGGTTTTAGAGGTTTCCCTGCTTTAGCACAGCTGATTATAATTATTGCAGTAAGCCTGTTAATCAGCTTTCAATTAAAATCAGCTGTGCTGGAGCAAGGAAACCTCTAAAACCTGCAGGAAAGCGACCCTCGAGGACCGAGTTTGGGGATGCCTGGGATGACGATAAAGGTTCAGTCAGGTGGGGCGTTTCTCTCGTACACATTTATATTTTCACACAAAGATTTCCACAGAACATTACCTTCTACCTGACTTTAAGATGACTTTGAAAATTAGAGAAAAAATAAATCAAGCTAACCTTAGAGGATAACAACACAGCTGAATGTACAACAGCAGAGTAAACTTCTACTTTATTCCCTTGAGCTTTTAACCTTTCTCCATTTAGAAATGTAATGGATTCGGAAAGCCCGACATGGTTTCGGTAATAGGTAAAACATTTTCTAGAAAAACACTTGAAGATACTGATAACACTTAATAATGCTGTGCTAATATTAGTTGTTGAATGTTTAATGATATTACCAGCTCTTTAGGGATGCAATAAAGGGGATCAATAAAACATTGATCAATTGCAGCTGCAATCCTGACTTGCTCTGTTGCATTGAGTCTGCCGACCATGCTGTGATTGGTCCAGACAGCATTCAACTAAGCACAATCATTGATATCTGTGCACAGCCTGCATATTAATATATTTTTTAAAGCTTAAAATACATTTGTTTTATTTTGATCTTCCAAAAACATTAAATATATAAATATATAGCCACAGAAATGTATGTTGTTTCTTAATTAAAGTGATTAAAATTTGTTCAAGATTCTCTAATTTCAGCAATTTAAAAATGAACAAAAAAAGAGTATGAACTTTTTTTTAATTAGTATCAAAATACAGAATAATGCTTTCTGCCAATTCTGGATGATATAAAAACCTGAGCTGTGAGTCTAATTCTATTCTAAATTCTTTGCTTCTAATTTTTTGCTAAACATTAAGATACAACGATTGGTCAGCTTAGGCTGAATGCAGAGAAACAGAGCGAAAGATATAAAATAAAGGTGGTATCTAAATGTGGAAACAGTATGTATAGCTCAGTGGGATGTCAAGCTCATGCAACTGGATGATATTTTTATCTGCACATGACTGTGTTATAGTGTACTTACTGTACAAGTACTTATCTAGAGATAAGATTCATCACAGTACAATTTATATGGATGTAAACATCATGAAGTACTTCAAATCTTAATTATTAACAATGACTGATTAATATTTCTATGTATTCTTTAATTTAATATTTTTTAAATTAGTCATTCCCACAGTTATGCTAATGTTCCAGCCACAAGAGGACAGTGATCCATGGACACCCAACTTCATGTCAGGTTATTTTATTTTTTCATTCTCATTTTTCAATTTATTTTCTGCTTTTTTAAGGAGTTTTCTTTTTAGTTTAAACTTAACAGAGGATGATTTTTTTTTTTTTTTTTTGCAGCCTCTGTTGGAGGGAGAACCTGAAAACACTGAGACTGACACATCCCAGACAGACATGACATCTTATCCACGACATGCCTGTTTTACTGGCGCCCAACCCATTAACCCATTAGCAATCAACTCAAACGACAAGTAATGTCTATCTACTGTCTGGGTACTTGATAGGTTTAGTTGAGCATGGTCAAACAATCAGCGACACTTCGTGTTATAATATCCAGTCTGTATTACTTCCACAAGGAACAATAACTTACGCATAACTTCAACTAAATAAGAATTTATAACTACCATTACCCACTTAAAATAACCTAAGGTAATGTTTTTAGTAGTGACAATAATTATTTAAAAGTACTTAAAGCTATATCTCGAACTATCTACAGACAAACCATTTGTTTTGTTTTTATTTACCAAAAGCCATCCCTCAGGGCCAGAACAGACAGAGAGGACAGCTTGAACATCCTCTCCGAAACACATTATCTGCTTCTTCAAGCACACCTGTCAGACAGCATTTCAAAATCTCTCTTTCCCTCAACTGCATCAAAAGAGAGCACTTCCAGTTTTAGTGAAAAACGTGGGATTTCTAAGGAATTCAAAACGAAGACAAGCAGCGTGAGAAAAAAAAAGAAAAAAAAAAGAGGATTCTCCAAAGAACATCTGCCGCCTCTAACTCACATAATGGAACCAAACCCTAATTCTTGTAACAAAACAATAGTCTGCTAAGAGATGACGCCATGTATCTTAAGGCACAATCCCTTGTTATTTTTCAGTTCTCCAGTGAAAGGTACCAAAACAAAACATAGGAGAAAGTTGAAAGTATCATGCTAATATATTTGAATTAGCAATGGTAAAAAAAAAACTATCTAGGAGGTCATGACCTTCTTCTCCCCAAAGATCTCTACTTATTTAAGAGACATTGCTCTTCTCTTTTCATGGGGGAAACCAACTTTCAGATGTGCAAATCCTTTTGCTCCACCGGGGTTGTTGTTTTTTTTCTAACCCCATGGAGAAGAATCCTCAGCATACAAATATAGCTGTGACAACCCCCCAGAGGGAGAGACGACACTTGACAAACCCCAGCTTTCCCCAATAAATCTAGACTACAAGGGGGACTTGCTAGGCAATGAAGTGTGCACTGCTTTGGCTGTCTGTCTCCATGTAATACATTAAAAAAGTATCTATACACAATTATTATTATCCAGCTGTCTCATTATAAGCATAGACTACAACATTATTTGGTGAACCTATGATATAGACCAACATGAAGCAGTGCGTAACCGTCAGATGAAAGGAAAAGGATATGCATTTCTGCTTTGATTAAAAAAGAAATACAAATAGTATAGTAATCTTTATTGTTTAGAGTTTTTTCTCATCCAATGTTATATCAGTTTGGCACAGTAGTATTATTGGGGTATCCCCACCTCCCATTCCAACCAAACGGTATGACTGCTGAAGATGCTTCTTTAAAATTTACATAAAGCTGCTCTGGTCAAATACAAAAGGTTCGCTGTGCTGCAGGTAGAGTCTGAATTTTCCAGCTCCATCACTTACGATATGGCGCTTTCACTTAAGAAAAACGCCTCAAGCTGCAGATTCAGCTTAAAGGTAAAGTGGAGAATTTTTGCACATTTTTGAAAAGACCCACCCACTCCGCGTAAAAAAAAATGCACATGTACAGCCTTATACCCATTCCAGAGAGGGAACACCTATTGAACACATGCATGAGCATGCACAAGCACCTAACTCCTTATGCACGCTCTATTTAAAAGTTGCTGTCTGTATTGCTCATACAAGCTTACTTTAAAAAATGATGATGGCCTTATGTATACATGTACATATCACCAGAATGATTGACAATTAGGAAGACCACTTATTTTGATGATCCATCTGGAAAAAGAACATCCTCCACTCTACATTTACCTTTAGATCGCTCCACAGACAGCCCAATGTCTGTGCGGCCTGCATTATAGTTTGTTAGTGCCCTTTTGGCACCAACACACACATCAGCTTCTCTCAGGGATCTGCGGAGCATCTTAGCTAGATGAGGATATAATTAAGACCACTGCAATAGGTAAGAGCCTGCGCTTGTTTTAATTTGCTTTAGACTGACCTGACTACCCTGCAAATCTAGTGCTTTAGTGACAGGATCAGATTGAGTGGTGGCAGTGTGTAAATAGACAATCCTAATGCTAAACAGCAACTGCTAAAGAAATATTTTGGACATCATATTTTGTGCTAAAATTCTGACCATTTTAGACAAGCAGAGGTCTATAAATAGGAGCAGTTATGAGTGGAAGCAGGTAAACAAAGCGGAAAACAAAAGTTCCATAAATTCAATACATTAAAAAATGACAATATTTCTGTTCTATTTTCAGTCGTATTTTTTATTCTAAATAAATAAATTAATAAATTTATTTAATCAATCAAAGAAACATTTTTACTTCATAGCGAACTTGAAATCATATATCAATATTTTTTTTATCAATCAATATTGGATAGTTATTTCCTATAATTATACAGCAAATAAAAAAATAAAATAAAAAACATATTTTGTATATGCCAAATGTGGGGTCTCAATTCCTTATATTTTGTCCTGGACCCAGATGAGGCTGTCTTGCTTGTGAGAACCTATAAAATGAGATCCAATATTTTCCAACAAAACAAAGCAAAAAAAAAAAAAAAAACACACACACACACACACAACTAGAAAACAATAAATCTTTTCTCTTGCCACTGTTTCAAAATGAGATTTGCAGATTGCTAAACAAATAGCTTTCCCTTGAAAAGATTCCCTCACCTGAGCTGTGTTAGTATCAGTGTGTTGGCTGCATATATTTACCCAGCCCATCAATTCCTTTGGATGATGGAATCATTTTCAGAACACCAACTCAGCAATTTCTGCATTAGATGTTTTTAACTTAAATTTGATTTTTTTTTTTTTTTTTTGCATTTTTCTGTGTGTGTGTGTGTGAGACACATAAGGGGGACTATTTCTATATTTTCAAAAATGTACCCAAAATGCCTTATATTGACCAAAGCAACCTTGAAAGGATTTATGGCCTTTATGAAGAGGCCAAGGAAGCATCATGAACATTAATAACCAGAACGGATGAGCCCTCCCAAGGCTCCCCATCTGAGT